GATGTGTTCCTGAATTTTTGCCCACCGTCCCCGCCAACCCGCTAAACCGCCCAAATACTACGGGTCGAATGTGTCCAATCACCGCCACCACAATTAGGATTCAATTTGTGCTCACAGTCATTCCGAGCCTAACCGCATGCGACGACATCCGGGCGCTGGCATCAGATGTGCCAGTTATTTCTGTTGAATGTCTTCTGACTCGGCAAAACACGTCCCCAAACAGGTCGTGCAGACCTTGGCTAAGGAATGAGGACATCAAATTCACCCCAAAGGCACCTATAAGAACGTGCCCTGAGTGTTGAACAGACAAGACAGGCCCCCGCTGGGCTGGCACAGTAGGAGCAGGGGGGAGCCCCGTGGTGCATCACTTTGGGCTACTTGGCCACCCGTGGCCGGGGCCACTATTCCTACGTAAGCCTAGCCATGTTCTCACCCGCAGGGGCGGTGACGGGCTGCTCGATCGCTGGACCAGTAGCCACAGGCCTGGAATCATCCCCTCTGCACGAGCACCAACAAAAGACTTTTCCTGCGCTTGTGACCCGTGACTTTTTTTCTTTTGGCCTGGTGAGCCCTTTGTCCTCTGCCCTTTTGCCCTGGGAGGAGCCCCCCTTTGCCCCCTAGCCGTGCCCATAATAACTGGACCTTTCGGTGGTGGCAGCCCGCTGCAGGTGTTTGGTGGTGGCAGTGACCCAAAAAAACCAACTAACCAGACAACGACTAATACTTGTCAACCTGCTGCTTCTCCACGATTTACTAGTAAAGTCGCAAGAAGTCCCTCGATATCCATCATACAAGAAAAACACCGCATTACCTCTACCCTCAAACCTGCATCATCTTCTGTTTTGCTTTTTCTGACATTCTTCCCATATGCTCTCCCCACCATTGACCTCAACCAATTCTCGACCTATCTTCTGAACCCGTCATCTTTCTTACGAGTTTCCTTTCTTTTCTTTGTATCTTCTCCAAAACGGTACGTAGTTGGCTTCTCCAATTTCAACCCTTTCGAGTCCTTATCGTCAGAGGGAGTCAAAACATCCCACTCGCAAAACCTTAGCATCTGCCAGGGCGGTGAATGAGATATGGCTCTGGGCGAGTAGCTCTTTATACCTTGCGCCCTGTCCGACCTCGATAGCTTCTCATCGCATGCTGACGTTGTCCCTGTTACAGTCGGCATCAAGCATTAGTTTGCCCATCATGTCGGCCGCTCAAGTCGCTCCCACCATTCCTCCTCGTCCTAGTCGAGCTCAGCAAGCTGCTGCCCATGGCGCAGGAAAGCTGCCCGACATTCCTCCTCGTCCCATAAACAAGCGTATTGAACGCTCCATGTCACCCTCCAACTTCCCTCGCTCTCCTCTGAACGAACCATGGTCCGCCAATCTCACCCGTCACAAGGCCAATGAGCAATCCTCTGCGGAGGGAATGCCTCGCCGTCCCAGCGTCCAGCACCTGCCATCCCTCGGCCAAGAAGGCATGGAGTATGGCGAGATCATGGACATGGGCATGGAAATGCAGACGGATACGCAAACGAATCAGCAACCACCAGTCTCGACTCTCGGGTCGGATGCGGCGGCTCAGACCAGAAATATCGCACAAGACCTCAAGTTGTACGCCCCAAAGCCCTCGCTCCCCAAGTCAAGTGCGACTGCCCAGGTCCAGGCTGTCACCCGGACCGACTCCCAGCAAGCTGCTTCCCACGGCATCGGGAAGCCGTCGACTCCGTCACAAGATGAGGGTGAAGGGTTACAGCAAGTGAGGACCCGGTCAAGTTTCTCTCGGCCCTCATCTACAATTGGCGGCGAGCGCCGTCCCTCTGTCTTTGGAGATGACGAGTCTGGTCCCGCAGAACTCGGCATCCGAGTTCCCATCAATCCTTTGTTGGGAGATGTGCAGGCCCCTTCCCCTGCGCCGGGTCTGACTCCGGCTCATACTGGCACAAATGGCGACAAGAGGCGGCCCACTCACTCGCGGGCAAAGGCGAGTAGGGAGATCTTTACTCCTCCTGGGTCCTATGGTCTCCATGGTCATGGCGTTGTTCCTGAAAACAAGTTCGAAAAGGACTGGTATGCAAAACACCCCGAGGCGGCCCAAATCGAGGAAACCCATGGCCATGGAGTGTATGAAAGCATCGGCAGTGGCCGCGGCGCTTTCGCTTTGAGTAGTGATGATCTGAACAAAATTGTGCGGGAGACAGCTAGTCGCGGATCAGGACTCGGTACGTTGTTTGCTTTGAGAAAACATGGCATACTCTAACTCACTTGTCCAGGAACCTCAGGATCAACTTATTCCTACCCTGATGAACAAATCGGCTATCTGGCCTCGGATATCTACATCTCCAGGTCTCAGCAAAATACTCCCAACAGTCTCGCAAAGACTCTTACCAACACCTCCCAACCTGCCCTCGAATCCCCACTGAGGAAAGCCAGTTTCCCAGCGGACGATACCATTCCAGCTGAAGTCCGACGTGGCCGACTTTCGATTTCCAGTAGGCATGACGATCACGATGCCATCGAAAGTGAACAGGAGGGAGAGGTCCATGTTCCGGTCGGTCGACGGTATAATAAGATTTCAGGCGGCGAGGAAAGCATGAACGAAACACTGGACACTCGGCCGCTGGTCTCGCAGCCCAGTCAGGACGATGACCACCTTCAGGAATATGGCTATTCGGTGCCGATCCTCGCGGCGGACGAGGTCGCGAAGGAACCCGGTTTGGAACTTCTGCAGCCCGCCGTTTCTCCCAAACAGGAACGCCGTGGAAGCCTTGAACCTGCAAGCGGTGATGTTACCCCAGGATCACGTCCACCAAGCAGACCCACCAGCATGTACAGTCTCCACAGCGCTAACCACTCGTTGGCTCGATTTATCTCTCATACTGAGGAACGAGACGCCATGCACACTCCGCTGGAGGATGTACATGAATATGAACCACTGTTCCCTGAGGACGATGACAAGAAGCCGATCAATCACGCCGAACGATTCAAGCAGCGACCTGAAGCTCTCAAGCAGCGATTCCCCAGCCAAGACATCTGGGAAGATACACCAAGTAGTGCCCATCACTCCGCTACCGTCTCCACACCAGATCTTCCCGCCAAAGCTGAGGAGGATCTTTCTGCTAGTAAGACGTTTGAACCTCCGGAACAGGAAGCTGCCCGAAAGGAAGAGCCATCTGAAAAGGAAAAGGCCAAGTTGATCCCAAAGGAACAAAGACTGGCACAATCCCGCTTTGCGCCTCACCTTCGCGATGACATGCCTACCAGACCTGGCATGGTACCTAGATTTCCCAGCCAAGATATATGGGAGGACAGCCCAGACAGCCACCACCTAGTTACAACCATCTCAAATCTACCAAGAGAACAGCAAGCAGAAGAGGAGACCTCGCCGGAAGCTACAGCGAAGCCAAGCATACCTCCACGTCCCGCTAAGAACAGGTTAGGTGAAGGGGCTTCCTCTGCTCAGGTTGCACCGAGTGTGCCGCCCCGGCCACAGAAAGCACTCGGCGCTGTGCCACCACTAGGTGTTTCCCCGACTGACGCCGCAAAACCCAAGGATGTCTCACCCACAGAGCTGAAGAAAGTTCCCAGTATTCCCGATCGACCGAAACCTCAGATTCCGGCTCGTCCAGCAAAGAAACCTGCTGGAGAGGGGCTGGCGAAGACCGTATCTGGCGGTTCAGCAGGATCGGTCGAACAGGAGAAGGTTTCCCCTCCCATCACCAAAGCTAAGCCACAAATCCCTGCCAGGCCTGTGCCAGGCAGTAAAATTGCCAATCTGAGGGGGAACTTTATGAACGATCTCAACCAGAAACTTGGCCTGGGACCGCCCAAAGAGAAGGAGCCAGAGCCAGTGGCTGAAGAGGTGAAACCTTTGGAAGATGCGCGCAAGGGTAGAGCCCGGGGTCCACAGAGGCGAGCACCGGCCAAGTCTCCGGCCGCTGTGGTGAGACCAACGGGGTTTTCCATGTTTTCACCGCGAGCTTTGTGGACTATAGATGACGTTGACGAGTTGAACGTCTCTTCCACTGGATCCTCTGCGCCTGCCCCGACTCTGCAGCAGGAGGGATCTGCGAATCTGGACATTCCGGAGAAGCAGGCTGAGCAGTCCGAACAAACCGCTCCGGCACAAGTCTCTCCGCCAGCCCCTACAGATGTGACCGATGATGGCGAGGCTGAGCCCAAGACAGAGGCTGAGGTTGAGAGTCAACCGATACCGATGGCGACTAATATAGCGACAAACACCGCTGGGGAACTCGCAGACCCGGAGCCCACACCTGGGACGCCTATAAGGGAGAAGTCCAACCCTCTCAGTCGAACTGATCCAGCCGAGAAAGTGGACAAGGAGGGCGAAGAGGTTGGACTCTCTCAACGGACGACGGCAAGCAGTGTTCAGGAGACCGGTTTAGAACTGGAAAGAGAAGAGCCTGATCCAAGTACGGATGCAATTCCTGCTAGCAAGCACACAACCGCAAGCACGCTAGGGGACACAGTGCCCCTGGAGAAGAGCCCAACCCCCGACGAACCACGGACATTGAGAAACACGCTACCAGAAGGCGAGCCGGGGAAGGCGAGCACGGAGGAGGTGTAGGCGCATTCGTAGGCCTGAGATGTAGTGTGTGGGTGTGTGGGTGTGTGTCTTGGATCTGCTAGAGTGCAGAGCACGGAGCCTACGGCTCTATGGGTATATGGGTATGTAACTACAGCAGCGAGAGCTGAGAATAAGGGAATACGGATAAGACAAAGGGGCAAGCGTGTTCGGGAAACTGGCATAGACCATCCAGCCAGGAACCGATCCAAAAAAGCAAAGATCTTCTCTATTGCTTTTTTTTTTCGACCTTGGGGGCTATTATTTCGTTGCTTAGAATTAGCAAGAACCACCAATCCAGTTTATTGGCATCTTGTTCATCATCTCCTTCTTTTCCTTCTCCCCGTCATCTCGATCCTTTGTCGTACTTCTGACTTGTGCTCATTGACACCGAATGCTTGCTTTCCTGCTTGTCTGTTTGGGTACTACTCAAACATGTCGAAATCCGTGGCTTTCGGCCGGACTCGGCGGCCTTGAGCAGAAGCCGTCGCCAAGGTAATCGCTGGACCCGCGGCTACTGCCGACTTTGTTGTTGCCGCCGGGCCAGAAGAACCTCCTTGTCCTCGCACCTCTGGGGCTGCTTCGCGTGTTACTTGCGTATTTGCGTTTGAGACTGTCTTTGCCTTGCCGCCCTCGGTTTCGTCCACAGACTGCTGCTGCTTTGCGGCGCGGTCTTGCTCTTCCTGCCGTTGAGGTGGGGCTCCAGCATCCTCTCGTTCCCGGTTGGGTTCCTGGACGTCCTGTTCGTCATCGCTGCTGTCCACCATTGGGACGCCGTCGATGTTCTCGTCCGTCAGAACCTCGTCCCCGTCTACGTCCTGCTCGTCAGCTTCGGTCTGCACTCCCTCTCCGTCGTCATCAATCATGGGCGTCCCGTCCATGTTCATTTCCACGTCACCGTCGTTGGCTGCGTGGTTCGCGTCGGCAGAAGCAGTAGACACGACTTTGTCTGAGGTCGGAACGCCTCCGTTAGCACTGGCGTCGTCCACGCTACGCCAACGGCTCACACTTCCGGTAGCCCTGTCTCTTTCTTTCTGTTTCTCTCTTTCGGCCAATTGCTCAGCCTGGGCCTTGGCTTTCTCTTCTTCACTCAGGGGCGGGTGTAAGAAACCCTCAATCATCTCTTTCATCCTCGCTTCCTCAAAAACGCACCACCCCTCCCACAGCCCCAAGACCACTTGTACCTGTCTCTTCCACTTCTCGGCCTTGAGCTTGCCCCATTCGTGCTTTTGTGGGAATTTGCCCAACGCAGGCAAGACGTTCTGAGCGAGAAGTTGATGCTGAAACAGTGAGCGGTAGCGCCATGCATGTCGCACACCCGAGGTTGAGGAGGCTGAGAGAATGTCGCTTATCAAATATAAACCGATTAGTGATGCCGGGGTTGTATCCTTTTCCATGGGTCTAGGCGGTTGGTCTGGGTTTTCAGACCTGGGGGCCTCCCCCTCCCCCTGGTGTTTTGGCGTACCATCATCGTTCTCCTCGTCATGATGGTCGTTCTCCTCGTCTGTCTCTCGTTTCGGTCTCGTGACGCTGTAACAAAACGGCCTGACTACGTTCCTCGTGACTAATTCTGCAACCTCGTCTGCCCCAGCCCCAGAGTGCTCAATAGCAAATCCCGTCACTCTCGCAACATCACCCCTGCGTAGCCTAGCATTGGTTTCTGGCAGGCGGCTAAGTAGATGAATGAGTTTCGTCTTCGCCAGTGGATTAAGATAACCAGTGCCATCGTTGTCCATGGACTCACTGATGTTGGTCAGTTTTTGGTGATCGTGATACCGTCTGGCCAATCCACCTCCTCTGTTGTCATCATCGATGCCTTCTTCGTCCGAAGAATTATAGTCGTCATCGGAAATGAATTCCTCGAGACGAGTGGTGTACTCGAACTTGAGGTCCTCTTCGGGGGCGATCCAGGTTGATTGTCCCTCAAACAATATATCACCTTGCGGTTGTCGCATCCCGTATCCCGTGTACCGTTGTCTGCGACGCGATTTAGAATCGGTCAGAATCTCCCATAGACGCCAACGATAATACACTCCGCCCGTGGATCTCGAGTTCCAAAGCCAAGCCCATTGTTCGTCACGTTGAATTTGCGGCCGGGACATGAGCAATGCTTCAAATTCAGGACCGTAAGTTAGAAGAGCTTCGATGGTTTTGTGGATTAGCCGGAGTTGTCGAAGATCGCTTGGGACTTGTACCGTGACTTGTGTTGGGGGCATGGTGGATCGAGGACCGTACGGTGTCGATGAGGTGTACGAAGCCGGAGGACCAAAGCGGTTACCGCCAGCTGCCTGACCTGGTGGAGGGGCCCGGGATAAGGATGTGTGCTGTGGCATTGGTTTTGCACCAAAGGGAAGATTGTGCAAGCTCGCAGACGGAGTGTTGTTACCGAGGGAGTTGATGCCGGTCAAGGCTGCTGAAGAAAGATGGCGAGAGATGGAAAGATTGAACCCAAATCCGAGGTATTTATTCTGAAGGTGCGAGACCATTGTTTCAATATCTGCCGCTGGAGTCTCGGCGGCGAGTGTGACGATTGCCGAGATTGATTTCCTTTCAGCGGTTGTGCCTGGCGCAGGTGGAAGGATGCGGACACCTTCGACGACCAACGGAGAGGGAGTGAAGAGCGCCTTGACGACCGCAGGAGACGTCTCGGGGGGAAGAGAGGCGAGATGCAAGGTGGGTTTCGCGGCAGCTTTCAGATCATCTGTGTCCCGCGCATCTTCCTCTTCCTCGTCATGAGCGAAAGCGGGGATGTCTCTCCTGTTGTCCGCATCTCTGCCATCATTGTAGGAAAACACCCTGTCCCTTCTGTCGCGTTCTCGATCCCGATCCCGGCCTGAGTATTCATCATAGTGTCTCTTTCTTCCAAATCCCGGTGCAGGACCCAAGCTACCAGGTCCACTCTTTGTCAACGAGGGACTCGGCCCCAGACTGCCAGGACCGCTCTTCAGGCCCGAACTTGTGAAGTGTCTCTTGCCAGGGCCGGAGGGACCGTAGTTGCTCCCAGGGGCGCCAACACCCCCTCTGTGTTCGCCTCCCGGGCCTCGCTTTGAAGCAAAGCCCGGTATTTGGTCCCCATCGTCTTCAAAACTCTTCACAAAATCTTCAAGGACAGCTGCTGTCTCTGCTTTCTCTCGGGCCTTCTTTGCTTCCGCTTCTGCTTTCTGTCGCTCGAAGATGGACTTTTTCGCCGAGGCGCCGAGTTTGGAGGAAATGTCGTTATTGGAAAGAGGCATTCTGACAGGTATATTCTCGAGGAATGAGGCGGAGATGCATGATTCTGATCTAGGTACAGGAATGCTGCTCAAGTTTGACAGGAATGGATTAACTGTGACGCCAAATGTTCCCAAGTCTGGGAGGCTGAACCCAAAGTGCGGAGGACTCGTGACTCGGCCTTTTTACTGCCCCAAATAGACTAGCTCAATCAACAGCAGCCTTGCAATATCGGAAAGCACCAATCATGGCATTTGTGACAGGCATCTTTTATCTATTCGCACAGTGCCACACAGTGCCCTGCATGCGCCCATCGTTACAGTAACAGTATTTGCCCCTCTCGCCAGATGTTCAATCCTCCTACACCTGCCCCCCTTCTCATCACAAATTTGACTCCTTGTGTCAATCTCTTCGATCTTCCCAGTCACGGCGAATTCTATCATGTTTAAACGGCCGTGCTCTATAATCTAGGTGTCCGGGTTTGCGGCTTCTTTTTTATCTCATGGAGATCGATAGACAAGGTTGGTAAAGTTTGGACAAATAGGCAGTCGAAAAGGAAGCTTTCTGCACACCTCGCGCTCCTTCAGCCTGGCCTGATGCGCAACAGTGTTAGGTCGAACAACATTCCAGTGGCTGAGGGCTGCGACACTCTCGAGACTCGGAGCGACAACGAAAGGACTCGCACCCTACCTTCGGTTGTCTCAAGATGCCGGTCTTAATGCGTACATCCTCACGGGCAGCAACGTTTTCGGAAATCCCGTCTGCAGCTTCGTTCGCACAATCTTCAGGCCAGCCTGCTCAAAACACGCCCGAAAATTGCGATCGCTGTGCGTGACGCTTTTGTCCTCCTCCCAGAACATATCTTCCCCGTCCGCGGCATTCGAGATATTCTCCTTCACGATGATCCAGCCGTCTGGCGCTAGCAGCGGGACCAATGTCCTAAAGTAGCGGATTAGGTCTGGGGATGAGAGGTAATCAAGACACCATTGGTGCCATATAAGATCGTAACGGGCCCCCAGTCCAGTCGTGACTTCGCCCAGTGGAGTCGAGGGCTTCCACCTATCTGCGTCTGATATCGGATCCGCAGGCACCGCGTTGGCCGCGTCGTAGGAAGGAATTGATTCGGCTGACCACTCCTGCAAAGGCACGTTATAAACGCGCTGCAGCTGCCCAGATTTGACCAGCGGCGCCCCCGGCGCAGTCAGAGTGGCGGTAAATTTCTCCACCGGCTCAATAATGTCGATTTTCTCACAAAGTGAAGCCAGCAAGTTGAGCGTAACCCGCCCGATCCCCGCCCCAGATTCGAGGCAATGCCGGAATGCATATTGTCCCGTTCTTCGATCGACGCTGTCGTCTGATGTTGGTCCTTTATCCCCTGAGATCGGATGGAGCCGATGGAGCTTGGATAGAAAATTGCGAGAGAACTGCATGTCCACGCGAGATAGGTGGGGAAAGCCGCCGAGCATGCCGTTGTCGTCGGCGGACTGCTTGCCCCAGTACTCGAGTTGAGCGGCCGTGGATACCCGGGCATCGATCTCTGCCTGCCGGTCGGTTGTCATGATGGGCGGAATATATTTTTAATGTTGCATTGAACGGACAAGGACGGGGCTTTGCCCAGGAAGGAACAGTGTCGCCTCAGCCGCAGAGAGGCACGAAACTTTTGCTGATATCCATTGCGCCATAAACTGTTGATATGTACGAGGTACATAAAAAGTCCTTGTCGTGGCCGTGGGTGTCAATGTCAGATTTGTATGTAGCGGCTTGGCAAAGCCAATCGCGAGAACAAACAAGACTAAAAGTATTAGAAGAAGTCAACAGATCTACCGAGTACTGAAACTTGGCCTGGCCAACGTAATTCGTCCCGATCCTCTGCCGTTGTCAAGCAACCAAGCCGAAGGACCTGCACAGTATCAGGGACACTCACAGTGCACGGTGCATACATTCATTCGACGGCTCGGTGTTATTCATGCTCTGTGTCACCTAGTAAGAATTGGGGTCTCAAGATCCAAAAGTGGTTCGAACACAAAGGCAATATTGTTCTGGACGGGTGTTGCGGTGTTCCTTGAGGGATGAGATGTTGTTGAATTCACGAGTGGGTTCAGGAGTTCCGGTTCCGCAGCTATTTGCACATCGCCGCCACTCCTTTTTGCGTTGGTAAAGCCTCGTGGAGACCCCAGGACCAATCAAGACGACTGCCAACAGCCTCGTTGTACATCAGAATTAGGCTGCCGTTGCGATTAGGCTGCCGTTTCCTAGTGGTCAGAAGGTGCCTGGGAGTAAATCTATGTAGGCACACGCTCTTTCTGTATGGGATAATGTTGGATTTCCCGGCATCCCTCGAGTGTTCTGGCATGGCTACCACTGTGATTTCCAGGCCGTGGTGTTTGAACTTCCGGGACCCAATCTGGAGGATCTCTTTCGCTACTGTGACAACAAATTCTCACTCAAGACAACATTGATGCTGATGGATCAACTCCTCCACGCGGCAGGATACCTCCATCGCGACATCAAGCCTGAAAACTCCCTTCTGGATACTGGCAAGCAGGGCAACGTTGTCTACATGACCGATTTTGGGCTCTCCACCTATCGAAGAGATTCTCACAGCCAAGTGACGAGTCACAAGACGGCAACTAGCCCCGGATTTCCTTGGTTGGCACCTGCCGCTACGCCAGCATCAATGGCCACTTGAACGTCGGTAAGTAGTGTGGATGTGTTCTATCGTTGATTCGACAAGCTAAACTGGGCCCTATGCAGCTCCATCACGACGTGACGACTTAGAGTCGCTGGGGTATACAATATGGCCTTGTATTTTCTTCATTGGTCTCTTCCCTGGCGAGGTCTGAAGGCCCCCAGTTGGCAGGAAAAATACAGGCTTGTTTTCGAGCGGAAGCGGACGATCAAGGTAACCGAACTATGCCGGGGTCTGCCCGCGAAGTTTACTACCTACAAGAACTACATTCGAGGATTGGACGACCAGGATAAGCCGGATTACAAGTACCTCCGGAGCTTATTCGGTCGCCTCTTTCGCCGCAAAGGTTTCGACCATGATAATGTGTTCGATTGGACGATTCGAGAGTTTGAAAGGCAGTCAAATATGAATCAGCAACGTCCTGTGCCCTGTCCGAGCGCTGGGGAGCAAAAGACGGAGCGAGCCCCTGCAGGCAGACGTGACCGAAAGAGGAGGCGTCGAAGAAGAGCTGATACGAAGGAATCATAGCGTGACAAGGTCTTTGATTGGACGATTCGGGGAATTCTAGAGGCTGGAGCCTGACGCCCCAAGAGCCGCTTACATCGAAAGATATGGACGAAAGGTGAGGAGCGGACACCACAAAGCCATCAAGTTGTGGAGTCCAGATTGTGACTAAGGCAAGTCGTCGAAAGAGGAAATGGTACCGTATCCTCCAACACGGGGATGAGAGGACCATAACACGCCAATGACGACGATCACTCCCATTCGTGTGCATCTGAAGTGCTGGTGGCCAGATCGTAGAGGTCCGTGCCTCTTGTGAAAGTGGAGGGTGGCTGTTATCGATCATCGAGAGCCAACCATTTCGCAGGCAACAATACCGACAGGGAGGCAGGAAGTGCCAAAGGTAAATCGTTGGCTGGTGTTATAGTAGCACCCCACTGAGCAAAAGCCCATACAGTCTGTGCCGCACTGTTGTTCAAACCTTCAATGCCTCACCGGTTGGGGAGACTGGTCACAGTTATTGCCCGGCCGGCGACCGTTATGGCGACCACCCTTGAAAGTCGATAGGAAGCATGGTCCTGTACCAGGGTGGAAGTGCTAGTGGATCGAAGAGCCTTCCTGTTCGAGCTCCCCTGCAGGAATCATATGCTCGCAGCGCGTAGGAAGAACAGTTGCGGCCCGTTGTACTGTAGAGTTGGTTAATATGAAAAGCCTTGTTGAAGATCTATCGAAACTTTAGTCGTCGAGCCAATAGGTTCCAAAAATTGAGGGTTGAGATCGACGATAGATTCGCGCATTCCCGTGTTGTCGAGTGCCAGTGCCAGTCCCGTTAGCTTAAGGGTCGAGCAATGGAGGTGACAAGGCGGCCAGCCGGCCAGCTAGAAGGTCAGCGATTCGCGCAGGCTCCGAAACAAAACTACCCTACTCAAGCGGGGCCAAATACCGGCTTCAATAGAGAAGGAAGGTTAGCCGAGTAAGATGCATCAGCACAACCTTTCACGTGAATGGGTGTCCGTATGGCAATGCTTACCCACCCCACGATAGACGAGTGCTGGAGGTACGGTACTCAGCAACTACTTCATACGCGCCCTGGCCCGGATATGGGCACAATTGATCCGTTACTCGGCCGAATTTCGGGAGGTAGAATAGCAGGATTTTCGCTTCATGGTTCGTTGCTTCTGGAATTTTCCTCAGCCAATCGACATGCCCTGAGACGCGAAGTCACGTGAAGATTATCAGGCTTGGCGGAGCGTGACAAACCGCAATCTCCTTTTTGTCGTCTTTATTTTCAGCCAAAATCTCCTTCGACGCTCCCCAGCCGCGCCGATCATCGTCCAATCACCGTGTCAAGGCGAAACGAGAAAAAAGGACTACACGTATGTACATTGCGAAAGTATCAGGACGCCTTCTTCCCTGATTCTGCAGCGCTTATCGCATGCCATACTCCACAGTGTGATCTCTACTGCTAAGAGGCACTACTGTCTTGATCCTGATGCGGGCTGTAACGAGGTCCATCTTTCCATTAGACGAAAGATCTCCAACATGTAAGCAAGAAGCAAGGAAAGATAACGCTCTTCAATTCAGGAGCTTAAATACTGGTTGGGTACGACAGTAGATCGCAGGACTTTGATCACACGAGACAAAATCACCTTGAAGAGATGTGGATACCTCCGAAACTTCCATATTACTTCGCACCGGATGGGCTTCCAGCTCCACTTCCTACCACACAGGAGATTCGAGCGTCCAGCAATATATTGCACCAGCGCTCCACCCAGACTGTCAAGGCTATAGGTATGCACTTCGTTGTCAAATATGGCCCAGGGACCAAGATCCGAGAAGGAAACAATCTGATCTTTCTACATCAACATTTGTCGTCCCTTCCTATTCCACGGCTGTGGGCGATGTACGAGGAAGATGAGGAAGTGTTCATCATCATGGAGCACTTTGAGGGGGATAACTTACAAGATATCTGGCCATCGTTGCAAGCCTCAGATAAAAGCGCCATAACGAAACAACTTCGGAGCATCATGGATCAACTGCGGGCATTGAAGCCACCAGAACCGTCGTTCTATGGTAGCTTAGAACGTGGTCCAATCCCCTACTTCTTGTTCAATTCGCTGGAGCCCAATCCTACAATAAACGGACCATTCGTCAACGAGCATGACTTCGTCCAAGGTCTCGTACAAAAGTTGAGGTCTATCGATGAACTTAATCACCGAGACCATTACAAAACAGATTTCTATGAGCAGAATCTCCCGTCGTGCTTCCGCCTTGGACGGCCAACGCTGACGCATGGCGACATTCAGAGAAAGAACATAATGGTTCAGCGAACATGTCTTCAGGGTGATGGGTGTGAACCCGCTTTCAGGCTTATGATCATAGACTGGGAAGACTCCGGTTGGTATCCTGCCTACTGGGAATTCTTCGTTACGTTCACATCCCTCCGCTGGGACGATGATTGGGCTTCAATGATTCAGGAATTTCTTGTCCCTTGGCCAGCTGAGACAGCAGCGCTGAGCATGATATACCACGACCTATTCTTCTAGAGACGGCTCTAAACTCATGCCAAACATCCTGGCCTCGGCTTTGAGAGCAGACAGCATTATCCCGTCTCTTCCCGAACCACCTTTCTCCTACACCGTTGCAATTCCATGGTTTCTTGAGATCCCGAGACATGCTTGCGTCGCCTCGCCGTCAACTCTATGAAAGCAATCCGCCCTGCTGTAAGGCTGGAATGACTTGATTCTCTGTTCATTCGGTGCATTTGATCAATTTAGGTCGTGGATCCCCGGGCTTGTAGAACGACCCGTCTGGCTTGATTGGCACAGTCTTCATGGTTTTGCTATTGGACGCTTTTTGACGCGGGGGCGGTCGATCTACTTCCGTCGGGTACTTCGACTTTGCCACGCGACCTAGGAGCTTCTTGTCATGATAGGTTTGCGAGTTCTCCGGTCTGTTTGCCGGCTTCCTCTCGTATCGCATTCCGGTGACGAGATCCCCGATAACATGATGGATATAGCCCCTTCCACCCGTCTCTGTTTCAACAAAGATCACCGTATGGTACCTTGTCCCTGGTACATCAGGGTCTGCCAGAATCCCTAGGCGCCAAATGCAGCAGGGCTTGCCGCGCGCGAATTGTAGATAGGCGTCCCGCTGGTTTCAGAGCAGGGGGCATCTGACACTAACAGCGAGCATTATTAGGCGCAAAACATGTCCCCGACAAATGTCTGAGACCTCGACGTACCATGTGCGAAACCTCCCGTAGGAGATACGATAGCAGGATATGATAGCTCAGGCGCTTGTCTTACCTCATAGCGCATTAGATGGTAACCTCGGGGTCAGTGCTGATGGCTCCTCCAGATCTCATCGCCAGTCCTCGCCTTGACTGTTAGTCAAATTGGCACGAAGCCAAAGCTCGTTTTTCTGGTTGTACATTCGTGGTACGCGTATCGACCGGAAGCAATATCAATATATCGTTCATATCGAGCAACTCACTTTCTGAGAGCATAACCAATGGCGTTGAGTTTGGTATTCATTCTCCGGGCCTCCAACGTCTCCTTCGAATCAACCACGATTTGAAGGAATTTTGCACCTACTGCGCTCTTCAGGCTTATCGGCAAGAACTCTGCGTAGCCCTTTAAGCAGACATACTCGAAGAACTCCGGATAAAATCCCGCACAGTCCTAGTCCATCAACCAGGGCTTACCCGAGTCGTCGACCAGGAGACTGTGAAGATGAACGCCAACACTGACCGCGGAGGCAGAAAATGGCGAAGGTAACTGGTTGGCTGGTATAGAGCACGTCAGGAAGCGAAACCCCTGCCCCCGGTTCACGCGTTCATACCTGGCCAGAGCAGTCAAATCGACGAAATCGACGAAATCCGCATTACTCACAGGCGTCGCCTGTTGAGGAGGTTTGGAGTTTTGTCCGCTCGACACCCAACCGGGGAGGCCGATTGTAAGAGAATTGCTGAGGGTGTGAACCCCGAGAGACGGTGTATTTTCCCATCAAAAGCGGCGGCGCGCCCAGCTTGCGACCATACCCGAAACGGCCGGGCCGCCTAAACCGCAGGCGAATTTCCCGGCAACGACTTTACAGTACAAGTAGATAAGCTGTTTGATCATGACCTGATACGAGTGATCCGCGTCATTTCTCAGGGATGGTCATGATCAGGCGTATCTGTTGTGCCGCTCTTTCAGAACCTCCGGTTTGTCCATGCGGAGTCCATCGCTTATGACGCGTGGCAGTGAGACCTTCTACCCAGGAAACACTCCTAGTGCATGTGCCTTGGCCGCCGCTTCGACGTTTATGGTCCAACTCGACTACTTTGACACAAGTACATCTAAACGGCGATCGAGGCTGTGCACCCACGCACCCAAATATGGCCCACACTTAGATATGCACTTGAACGCCTAGCCTTGGCCCCGGATGCCAATCTTCTACTTGACGACAGCCTGCGAACCTCTGCCTCCAAATCATACCCCAGCTTATGGCACAAAGGAATGTTGCTGCCTGATGGGACGGCTCTTAAGAGTCCATACCACGTTCTGTGAGTCTGGTATAGCTCGCCAGGACCATCGAAAGTTTCCAAAGAGCGACAAACATATTGATTACATCCAATCTCCTTCAAGGCATTGTGGTACTCGTATGGCGGTAGCACCTCAATCGCTGGCAACCAACAAAGGCCGAGTTAGAACATGCACATCGTGCCGACAGACAAAAGTGCGCCTCGGGTCGGTGTTTTGACATTAGCAGCTGGCTTACTTTTCGAGACCAGGTTCGGTGTGATGCTGCGACAAGATTTCCGGCCGCCTGTTCTAGATGCGATTCGCACGGGCTCTACTGCCGGATTGATTCAAACTTCACACGAGTCAGGGTCAGACAGTATGGATTTTGTTCGTGTGGCGGACTATCCCACATACCTCTACTAACCTGTACAGACGGTTAACTCCTATTCAGCAGTCAGAGACGACAGGACAAGACCTCGGGGTTTACGAAGGCATAGCTTATCCGTCAGCAGAATACTTGTCCGCGCCCTCTACAGGTCATGTGTCGGACACAGCGAGTGATGCCCACTCAGAAATCTACATGGGCGCAGATTGGCTTCTTCTCTCAGACGCACAAATCACGCAGCACGCACAATGGTCTTTAGGCGGTGCTGTTCTCAGCTACCACGATGTCTCGGAGCTGTTCAATTTGTGAGTTGTTTAAGAACACATACAACTGCGCAAAACAGAGACTGATGGAAGGTAAACAGCTACGCACACAACTACTATCCACACCTTCCTATACTGGACCGAGTTACATCTGTGGCGGACTTTCATGACAGCAATGTCTTCCTTTTCTGGACACTTTTGCGCACTGCCTGTTATCGACATCCCAAGTTCGGTCATGTGTTCCAACTGATCGCACGACCTTATGAGCAATTGCTCACGATGCACCTCCTCTCACCCATCCGCGATTTCAGAATCATTCAGGCCATCCTCATATTGTGTCATTGGCCTAATACAGGGTCGCAACAAAGTAAAGACCCAAGCTGGCAATATTGCGGAATTGCCATGAATGCTGCCTTGCAAATGGGCTTGGATCAACTAGAAGCGGAGATGTTACACCCCGGGAGTCGTGGACAATCGAATGCCCTCCAGATGAGCGTCCAGTCACGGCGCATGACTTGGCTGGCCTGCTTCAACACCAGCACAAAGTATGGTGGGATTGTTCACCAAGCCACTCGCAATGAGCTGACCGTGTCCTAGTCTCAGTGTCTGGTTTGGCATCCGGCCACATCTCTCTTCGCCCTCACAGCTGAACGCGACTTCATCAATGGCCAAAGAACCGAGTGTCCCACGCCATTTCATGGTGCAAGTTGAACTCCAGCGTCATGTTGTGCAATACTCCACAGCACTTGCTGGCGATGTCGACAGCAGCACCTGTTCCACACTGCAGAGCCTTTTCAACACCGAACTGGACACTCTCTTTACGGTGTACCAGGACATTTGGTCCCCGCGACTGGAAATTCAGCGTCTCGGTGCCAAGTTATACCTGTTCTCGCTGTGCCTCACCGTGACATCCAAACAACGCAGTCGTCCCCAAGAACTCGACATGCCCTATGCCATCGACCTGGCTCGAGTGTCAGTACAACTCGGCCTCCCTGCCGCAGTGTCTCTGATTCACACCATTGTCCAGCTGAACAACGAGTCTTTGGTGCAGGAGCCCGGTAACGGTGGAGTCATCCACTACCCCAAGTTCTACTTCCGACTCGTCGTGTTCGCCGTCGTCTTTCTTATGAAATTCCTCTGCGCCGACCCCAGAGCTGCGCAACAGGACAGGGAGCTGGCATTTTCACACATCACCGCGGCACACCAGTTCTTCTCCAGTTTCGCCCCGGCGCAGGACTTTGCTCGCGTTGCGGAGGTGATGGCGGACATGGCCAGGAATCTCAGAGTCGACGCGCAGGACCATCCCAGCACGGTCGAGACCAGGCTGGGCGCATCTCTCCTGTACGACACCATGCGGAGATTCAGGCGTCCCTTGGAAAGATCTGGCGGCAATGAGGAACCCGCTGCACCCATAGCGACAGATCCCAATGCTTGGGCCATGCGGTCCGACGACGACGGAGCGAGCTGGGAAAATCACCGAGTGATGGACTCGTCCTCTTGGCGGTCGCATGACGCTGTTGCATACAAATTGCCAGAGTTGCATGCGAATTTGGAAGAAGGACTTGACTGCTTCCGGTGGATGTCGGATGACATGCTCGTCGAGATGATGAATTTGTGACTTACTCTCCCTTCCCCTCCCCTTCCCCTCTCTGTATGAAAGAAAGAAAGAGAGAGAGAGAGAGAGAGAGAGAGAGAGAGAGAGAGAGAGAGAGATAGGGGTACGGAGAGAGAAAGAGTCAGCTTACATAGCGGGACAAGGTATTTTCGCTAGCAGTCATTCATACAGCGCGCAACCAGATCTTGAGATTTGGGCTTACAAGGTTGACATTTCCTCCACTACCGAGTACAGCGTTTGCACATGAGGTCCTGACACACGATGGCCAATGAATCGTCAGGCAAAAGGGCTGGTTGTAAGAACGTGAAAGATACCGTGCACAACTTTTCGGTTTCCCATACCATACCCGCACACCAACACATCTCATCCTGCGAAAGGTGTGTGTATGCGCGCACTGCCGCATCTATAAACAAAGAAAGGGTATATATATCCCCCCAAGATCTGTTTCCTTCCAGGAATCCCAGGTACAGTATAACGCCAGTCATGAAATTGTGTCGCCAAAAATCCGCCTTTCTCCGCTCATCATCTCACATGTATGTTGGAGCCGACCGATAAAACTCCTCTCGGATCCTCGTGGCGAGACGGAGGCCCCTCCAAAGTCCCTCCCTGCTCTTCTTTATGCAAAATATTGACAAATCCGTACGTGGGTATTGGTAGTTCCGCCCTGCCCGTCACCCAACTCCTTTCTGCTCGTCGTCCGCCTCACTCGCTAGATCGTGATCGCCGATGGCGACACACACCTACGCCTGATAGCGCGATGGCATCATGGCAATCT